GTTCACTGTTAAGATGAAACATCTCCTGAAAGCCCAAATCAAACACAAACAAAAGCCCTTTGAACGCCAAGTGACCACTCTACAGACAAGCTATTTTGTCTAGGGAAACGTGAGTAAAGAGCACAAGATAAGAGAAAAAATAAGTCTAACTTGCTGCTTTGTTATTGTACACTACATTTTGTGTGTTGCTGAGAATCTAGCACTCCTGGAATACGTTTGGGATAAAAGTATACTGGAAATGGACGCTGAAGAGAAAACACCTTGGGGACAAGCCACATATAAACTGTCACAGATTCATTGATACTAATCCCGTAAAGCAACAACATTTCTATTCTGCCCTGAAGTGAGGTAACAGAACAAAGACCTCAGTCCCCTCCACCATTCTCACAAAACCACCCAAGCCAATTTAAGGATGCTCTGTCAGGACGATGCCGCAGTGGTGCTTGCTCATCTGGATGCTGCAGATAAATCCAGAAAGGGCAAAAATAGCTAAAATACTGGCAGGATTGACATATGATAAAGATGAGGCAATAATTAGGATTCAGCTGTAATGAAAATCACGAATATGATTTCGCACACTTGGAGAATTTAGGCAGAAAAGACTGGAAGTTTTGAGTTATTCAAGGTAAGAAAAAGTCTTAATAAAAAGCAACTGGTCCCTTATGTTTGCCTCATCACAGTCCTGTCATGAAGGCAATTAAAGAGCGGTGCACTCAAACAAGTGAAAGGCAAATACTCCTGTGTGTCTGAGACTGTCAACCTTTGGAACTCCTCGTCACAGTTCAGAGAGATGGCATATGGAGGGTAAGATAACAATAATTATCTACTAACAGGAACTCTTACTATTTAAATGCATATCTCCAAATTCTGCAGGCCTACGACAGGGGAGAAGGGCTACTCAAATAATTCTGATTTAAAGTAGTCCTACCAATGAAAGCCAAGCCTAGGCACGTCAAGTGTCCAGCTCAGCTGAAAACTGTTCAGCTGCAACTGAATTCCTCCCGGGGGTAGGCACTCAAAAACTTTGGGAATTTATATCTTAGTTACCAGTTCTGTTGCTGATATTCAGGGATGAAACAGAGTCCACTTGAGGCTGCATGAGCTATACTTGTTCCGCAGCAATAACAGCAGTGAAAATGATGCTCCAAATTCTCTAGGTACTGAAAACAGCAGGCAGCATCCAGGTGGACTTCTCTCATATTTAGGATTTACACCAGTTTTCATTTTCAGAGCACCAATGCTAAGTAGCCCACATACACAAGCTAAAGAGAGAATGAAACAATGATCTAAAGTCACATACAGCCCCAAAACTGTTTCTATGTCTCGGTTCTGTGTTTGAATGACTAGGTCAAACTTCCTAGCTGAAGTAAGAAACATTCTTAACATCCTCTTGCTTTCGTGATTCGACGTTTCGTTCCTAGCATGTGGTGCTCGGTATTTGTCACAACCCTGTAAATGCAATTTAGGGCAGTATTTATTATCAGGACATCCATCACAGTGGTGTTAGCAGGATGAGGCCATTCTAAAAGGGACACTAGAATTGAGCAAGGACATACAGCACAGTGTTTGATAGCAGCCGCTTGCAAAATGATGTTATCGACCTGTTTCTGGTTTTCGTGGGTTTTTTGTTTTTTTTTTTTACTTAAAAAAGGCCATCTAGTCCCTACTATCTCTACTTTCCCCCTTTTCCATTCAACTCATTAATTTTTCCTCATTTTTTATGGATCTCAAATAAATGCAGTTCTTTCTATTTATTTCTGTAGACATCAATAATGTAAACGTTCTTCTAGGAATAACTCTCATGAGATATCTTGAATCGATAGGCCTGAAAAAATAACTTCTGCTCCACTCCTGCAGCTTTCAGTCATCCACTCATGCAAAATGGGGCACAGCTCACCATAACAAGATTTCTTTAGTCAGGCAGCCACTAATTTCTGTTTCCCCTCCAATGAAAGCACTGTCTATTGAAGGCATACATATGTGGTCATAGTTTTCAAATAAGTCGTTTCATCATTATTTAGAACATTTCTTTCCAATTGCCACTCTACCACTAAAAGAGCAAACCCGGAACCTGCAATTAATAAATGCATGCTTAACTTTAAAGCCTGAACGACAGGCACACATAGAATCATAGAATCATAGAATGTTTGGATAGCCCTGCTAAAGACTGCAGAACGACAGGCACACATAGAATTATAGAATCATAGAATGTTTGGGGTTGGAAGGGACCCCTAGAGGTCATCTAGTCCAACCCCCATAAAGTCAAGCATATGCTTAAGCATTTGCAGCATCTACGCATACATTAATGCACAAAGGGCGCCCCTCACATGAGGCAGGATTTGGTGTGCAGACTCTTTTTTCAACCATTTGAACCATTTTCCCTCAACGCTTTCCGCCCTCACTTCCAGCAGTATTTCACTGCCAGTTTTTAGCACCTAACCAAAGATGCACCTCTTCAAGCTCAGTCTCGTAGGCGCCTTGGCTTACTGGGAAAGGTGCTAAAAGCCAGAAGAATTACTACCAGGACCCCAGCTCACCAAAAAGCAAACAAAACCAAATCGTGTAGCCAGCAGGGTCCCGGTAAGCAGGAGGCTGAACGCGGCCTACAGAAACGGCAGCCTCAGGAACAGGCCCTGCTGCTTTCCCCTCCGCAGCGCGGCGGTGGGCGCGGACGCGTGTGGCTCCGGGACGAACCCGAACCCTACCGGAACGTCCGAACCCCAGGCCCCCTCGGCCTCCCTTCCCACCCAATTAAACAAGAAACCAGGGACGGAAACGCCGGTTTGGAAGTGACAACCTCACACAAAAGCACCGGAGACAGCGCCTGCTGTCTGCTGGCCAGGAAAAGGAGAAAACCCTGAGGAGTTCCCCCA